CGGTTAAAGCTATTTGAAGTGAATTGTTCATTTAGGGGGCTAGTTAGTTGTGTATGCATTGGTGCTCAGGATCAATGTATTGTTTCCTAGAGACTGCTGGGATCTGGCTTACACGGTGTTTCAATGCTATAAAGATAACCATTGGAGATGCTGGGGTTTGAACCCAGGACCTCATACATGCGAAGCATGCGCTCTTCCACTGAGCTACATCCCCTACGGCTAATGGGCATAGCCGTGGCTGTCGGTAGCGTATGTCAGGTCATTACACCAATGCTAAGAGTCCACATTATCCATGACAGGCTAAAATGTTGGCAGCGGTGGGATTCGAACCCACGCCTCCGCAGAGACTGGAGCCTAAATCCAGCGCCTTAGACCGCTCGGCCACGCTACCCCATGGTTGTGCTATATAGAGGAATACTACAACAATTCAGAACGCTCAGGAATCCTGAATAAAGCAAATTATATTGCTTTATATATTTCTTAGGATTTGCATTTATAAAAGTTTCATATGATCAAATTCATAAACTCAACACATTACCCAGATATGGTAAAAATGTTAAAGCAGGTTTACATTAATGTTTGTTACATAATATGATTAAAGAAAGAAAATAAATAAATAAATACCACTCCCAATCACCAGAATTGAATGCTTTGCTATTTTAAAGTGAATTTTAATACTTCTATATATTCATTGATCAAAATTCATTGTTTCACAATTTTTGTATGAAATTTAAACCACTATGCTGGGGCAAATACGTGCATGTTATATTGATATTGAACAATCTTTGTTTGTCTGATTGCTGTATTGTAAACCTATAGTAAATATGTAAATGTGCTTTTTTCACACGTCTTTCCCAAATAATCAGAATTACATTCCTTCACTAACACTAAATTCAATGCGTACATCTCAAAACCTGAAATGGCAGCGGTGGGATTCGAACCCACGCCTCCGGAGAGACTGGAGCCTAAATCCAGCGCCTTAGACCGCTCGGCCACGCTACCACGGTCAGTGTTGTACTCAGGACTCAATGCCTTTCACATTGCAAATGCGTTGGTTGTGCTGATTCAGCGGCTCTTAAAACGCGTTTGACCCGTTTTAGTCGCATTACTGTGTGTATATGCGAACAAGCAAGATTGTGATTTGAGAGCCCAGAATTCGGACTCCACATAATTATTAGTGCTCTGCAGGTACTTAGTGGAGCAGATCCCAATATCATTATTTTAGTCTTTTCGGGGTTAGTTGACATTATCAGTTCTCAGTGCAAATGCACTATGATATGTTTAGAGCAGCTATTAAAACGCATTCGACCCCTTGCACACCAGTATTAACGCCACCCAGTTGTGGCAAGATGGGTGTTACTATCAGGTGCTCAGAGATTATAATGTTGATAATTTGAACTGTGTGTATGGGAACAAGCAAGGTTGTGCTTTAAAATGCCGAAATCAAATTTCACATTCTAGCAGCGGTGGAATTCGAACCCACGCTCAGCCACACTACCTGCAGCAGGTGAAAATGCTAACGCTTGCGTCGGTGTAGTCATTTCTATAACTCAGTGGGGTTTTAGAGAGGATAATAGACGAGTTAGATTCTCCATTCTTCCCTGCAAGCACGTGGGGAGAAACATCATCCTGGAGTAGAAAAGGAGTCAAAGGAACAAGAGCTTGTGAATGAAAATGCTGTCTGAGGAACTGGAGCTCTACTGCCCAAAGCAGTGTGTTATACTGTATAGAGACAGAAGCCAGACGTTCCTCCATACGTTGACCCAATGATGGACACTGATCCAGTACAAACATGTATAAATCTCTCTCACTCACTCACACACACACACACACACACTTAGCTGCACAAATGTCTTTACAAGTCTTCAATTATCCAGAGTAACAGGAAATCAAGGTTTTATTTCAAATCTAGCTCGAATCTGAGTGAGCGGCTCTTAAAATGTGTTTGACACCAGCATTAACGCCTTCCACTTGTGGTCTATCTCACCCAATTGAGGTCACATTTTCTATGATGGAACTCATACGGAAGTTAAGTCGTTTTGTTGTGTGTATATGCTAACAAGCAAGGTTATGCCTAGAAAAACTTGAAGTTGGAATCTGCATGTTGGCAGCGGTGGGATTCAAACCCACACCACCGACAAGACTGGAGCCTTAATCCAGCACCTTAGGCCACGCTACCAAGCGGTCATGTTGGCAGTGGGCTACAAACCTCTGAACTTTAGTTTTAGTAAACTCCACAGTTTTAGACCGCTCGGCCATGCAAGGGAGCATGCAAACTTTGAGCATGCAAATCCATTCTAAAACTAATGCCTGCGTTGGTGTATATCATTTCTATAAGTAAATCCTTTTAAGAACTGAATGAGAACAACAGCCATTTTAAAATGCAAACTGGAAACACATCTCTAATCCTAGATTTAACTTTGCAGGCTGAGGAGACTAAAGTACTTCGGCTGCAGCTGGAGCTTTCTCAAGCCAAAGCAGACATTGAGCGCAGACTGCAGGAGAAAGAGGAGGAGATGGAGGCTGCCAGGTAGTTATTTTATTGCTATAAAATAACTGTGGAATTATTTACAAAAAAGTTCATAACATAGTGTGTCTAACTGTGATCTTCTTAATTTCATATTTCTTGCTTTTCACTAAAATATTATCTCAAGTAAGTAACTCTCTTCTTTGACTTTTGAGCTTTCTCTTGTGCTACACTGCTTACAAAAGTGATGAATGATAAAGAGTACACAAACTTAAGGTGTGAAGTCTAAATTTAGGAAAATCCACCAGAGGGCGCTAGAGTCTCTCCAGGCCAGTTTGGATGTGGAGGTGAAGGCACGGACAGAGGGAGCACGTCTGAAGAAGAAGATGGAGAGCGAAATAAATGAGCTGGAGTTACAGGTGGACCTGCTCAACAAGAACAACGCAGAGCTGACGAAGACTGTCAAAAAGATGCAACAACAGATCAAGGTTCAATACAGCCAGCTTTGTTGTTTTTGTTTTACATTTCTCTGCAACTGTGCGATATACCAATTCCCTTCTTATTATCACTTTATTATGACTTACACCTTTAACTATATAGTTTTGGATAATGTAGAGCTTTTATTAGTGTGGTATTTTATATGTGTGGCTGAGTTCATCATTTCTTACACTCACCTGTCTTACCCAGCCCACCTGTTGTTTCAACCACTCTCTGCCTCAACCATCTCACCCACGACCGCACGGTGGTGGGCAAGTCTCTGGGCCCTGTGCAAATCCACACTCTTAACAGAAAAGTTACCTCAATGGTTCCTTGGATGGTTAATGGATAACCATTAACGTTTTCTACTCCAAAGGGTTCTCTGCACTGAACTTTTGGGTTCTTGTAGACTAGCCGCAATTTATATAACCTAAAAAGGGTTTCTTAGCCATTTTAAAGGGTTCTACTTGGAACCCTTTCTGAAAAAGAATAAGGTTATACATGATAACTCTGAGGAGCCCCAGAGGGAGAAAATTTAAGGCTGCTGTATTAAGCCTTTTTTGTAAGACTATCTGTGAAGCATAGCATTGCCCTATATAATCACTTTTGTCTAAGGTTCTTTGGATAACGTGCCACACTGAAAAGCAAAACACAGGATACACGCCGCTGTCTCAGGTTACTGCACTCTCAGGCTATCCAGAGGGACGGAGGAACCAAGGAACAATTTGGGCAGTGGTGGCTCAACAGTTAAGGCTCTGGGTTACTGATCAGAAGGTTGGATTCAAGCCCAGCATGCCAAGCTGCCACTGTCGGGCCCTTGAGCAAGGCCCTTAACCCTTAGCTTCCTAACAAGCTGGGATACGCGGAGAGACAAAAAAAGAATTTCACTGTACTGTAATGTATATGTGACAAATAAAGGCTTCTTCTTAACAATTAAGGGTGCTAGATTTTCCCAAGGGTGCAATCTTTCTGGACTGTATTCCAATCTTTAAAATTTACCCCCTTTTAGTGCACACCCCTTGAAAGCTTCCTCCACCAAGGGACCCTTGGTAGCAGTTCAACTATTTCCTCCCACAGTGACACCTCTGTGAACCTATATGTTAGATGTTAGCTGATAAAATGGCCAGCGAGTGAACGTAATAAACTGGCACATGTGCTTTTCTAAATTCCAGTAAGAATCCTGTGTATGTATTGAATAAAGCATTTTATTTTATGTCTAAATGATCACACTGAACACATTGAACCCTGCACAGTGACATGACCTGACACTCTGTATGGTCTCCTTCAGGACCTGCAGGTTCAGCTGGAAGAGGAAGCGCGGGTGCAGGAGGAGCTGAGAGAGGAACAGGCTCTGCTGGAGAGACGCTGCACTCTGCTGGTCACTGAGGGAGAGGAGAGCCGCACCGGGCTCGAGGCAGCAGAGAGAGCTCGCAAAACCCTGGAGACTGAGCTCCAAGAGGCCACGGAGAAATACAACGACATCAACAACCAGGTGCAGCCGTAAACCAAACGACCTGGTGTCAAAAAGAAGTAAAACCTGAAATGAAAGAAACATTTGAACTCTTTAGCTATTTATGTGAATAGTGAATTAATTCATATTGCATTCATCCTTGTTATTAAGAACTTAGTTTAACCATTTCCCTCATGACCTGTCGATGCAGTTACAGTCAGCCTGCAGCGGGAAGCGGAAACTGGAGGTAGAGCTTCAGCAGGTCACCCAGGAGCACGAGGAGCTGCAGAATGAACTGAGAGGAGCTAATGATAAGATCAAGAAAGCTGTATGTGAGGTAGGATGCAGTACTTGGTAATACATGATGCGTAGCACTTGCAATATTGGGGACAAAATGGCTCAGTTGTTTGTGTCAGATTGTACACTGCGCTTCTCCTCCAGGTCAGCACTTTACTGACATTATAGATATGAGTAGTTTTGGTGCTTGAGGGTGTAAAAGCATTTAGGACAGTCTCGAAGACCATCAGATCCTTGGATGTTGCCGGTTGTGTTCAGTGCGGTGCTGGTGGAGAGTCACGAACTTATATTACTAACATATAATTGATTATGAACTCCACTCTTTTGTCAAGCTCTTAACCAAAACAGAAATTACACAAGATCCAGCTGAAAAATTTAAAAGATGTACAGTAGTGAAATAAGCTGCTCAGCAGCTTCATATACAATGTGTAGATGTGCTATAGACATTAATTAGACATTTATACAAATTGGGTAATTAATCAAATTAAATTATTAAAATCATAAAAAAAAATACTAGTGATTTCAGGAGATCTTGCTCCTGAGAATAACAAGGTGGTTTAATAGTAATTAAAAATAGCTCTATTGTTTACACTCCTGTGTATACACACTTGTCATCAAGACTTTGATGTATCTAATTCCACAAATATTGTTTATATTGCTAATAATTACCATTTTAATTACATTTAATATCATTTTATTTCTTTATGAAAAAACTATATGATTATAAAATCAAGAGAGATGGCTTATCAGTAGGACCTCCACTGCTATGTAGTTAATAGTACAAAAGGGTTAAGCTTCCAGAAGATCATTTTAAACTCACAGACTTCGCCATCACCTCTTTTTTCTGTGCAGACTGCGCGAATGGCTGAGGAGCTGCGGGTGGAGCAGGAGCACAGCATGCATATGGAGCGTGTGAAGAAGGGCTTGGAGGCTCAGCTAAAAGAAATGACTGTCAGACTGGATGAGGCCGAGCAGCTGGCCATGAAAGGAGGAAAAAAGATTATTCAGAAGCTGGAAAGCAGGGTAAACCACAGAAATTCACACTGCTGCCATATAAACTGCACTTCACTGGAGTGCAAACACACATATAGGTTTTATTCACCACTCAGTGTCCTCAAGTCTCAGCATCTATTCCTGTGCTGTTGGTTTTCAGACAGTCCAATAATATCTACTCTACATATCTGACTCTTCTGCACTCTCTGCATTGTCTTAATCCTGCAGGTCAAGGAGTTGGAGCTGGATTTGGAAACAGAGCAGAAGAAGTACGCAGAGACAGTGAAGACGCTGCGGAAGAATGAACGGCGCCTCAAGGAGCTCCTCTTCCAGTCTGAGGAGGACCAGAAGAACCAGCAGAGAATGCAGGAGCTGCTGGAACGCCTGCAGATCAAAATGAAAACCTATAAGAGACAAGTGGAGGAAGCGGTATGAAGAAAATCACTCTGAACTAACCAAAACAAATCGAAACTGAAAGGCTGAGTTCAAACACTTGGGTCATCCTGAAACAAAGTTTGAAATGGAAAAAAAAATGCATAGTATTACAGCAATACAACTTAATATCAGGGTTTTTAATATTTTCTGATTGGTATATACTGTACTTACTTCATGCTAACTTCATAGGAGGACATTAAATGAGAATTAATACAGCAGTGCAAGTGTAAGTATTAAATAATTTAGTTTGAGAAAGTAGTAAAATATATATATTTTTAGAACAGACTTGTTAAAATGATCACTTTTAGCATTACCTACATCAGAACAATGTAAAAGTCTTGTTTTCTCAGATTTTCACCTGAGTTGTTTTTCTTTAAAAAGCAGGATATCTTTTCTTAAAATATTAATAGAGGTGTAACAATCAAATGATTTGGATTGCTGAATTGATTTAAAAGGCAACAATAGAACCTAATCAAGGCAGCAATCAGAAATCGATTACTATCAAAAAAACTTCAGACAACTGGTGTGTAAAAATAATTCATATTTTTAAACTGATGTATAAATAGGATAGTACGCCCAAAACCCACATACTTAAAAATAATCCTTCTCTACATCATCATTTGTGAATTAACAGTAGGTCTTGCCCAAATTTTGAACCAAGTTGATCAATTAGAGGCTCCTGAACCTAATCGCATAATATATCTTAGAAGATTCAATGGCATTGTCAAATACTGAATCATTGCCTTATAAATCAAAATCATTTTGTTTTGTCTGGAAGCTTCAGGTTTACACCCCTAAATTTGAGCATATTTTAATAGAGCATATTTATCAAAGTTATTAGAAATGGAAATACATCCAAACTGTTTTGTGTCAAATTAATGCAGTTGTCATAAGTGCGGCGGTATGATTGCAACTGAGGGATCAACTTTGGTCATGTGGAAAAAAAACACCTTTCCTTTAGCTCTGGATATTGACTGAAACCAACACCGATCCAGTACTGTCATCCTGTTAATCAGTGAGCTGACTTTCTGTTTTTAAATTAAAAGAGGTGTGATAGAGA